AATGTTACTCCCCTTTCTCCCTAATACCATTAGGTTATATTCAGAGTGAATACATAAACAAGAATAATAAAATATTAAGGTCTTCTGATTACGTCTTTCATGTTATAAGTTACTATCATTTGGTTATTTGAGAATGGTTCTTTGATTCATGTTTCATCTAACACATTCCTGCACATCTCTCAATCTTCCTATTAAAATAGGGGATACATTCCTCTCCCTTCTCCATCATTTGTATAGATACAATTTTGTACATTAGTATTCTAAATTCAATTACTACAAGAGCATAATCCCCCTCCCTCATCACTGTATGCACTCAAGTTGAACCTCAATGGAAGCACCACTGAATGCTCGAATAGCCAAAACGCCATGGAGAAAAATTCCTTGAAAACCTCAGAAAAAAAGGCAAATAGTTGTGTTAGGATGACAGTCTCAGAATCAAACCTAGTGACCACTAATCAAACAAAAAACTAGCCTGGAATACTACCATGTACTTATTCTGTCTCTCAAAACTCTTCCACTATCCTATCATATTCTGTTTTTTTTTTATTTAGTTGTCTATTGATAGTGCTACTGTGCAGTACTAAATCATCCACTATATCACACAGTCTGATGAAAACTTCTATTGCTGATCCTGTTTTCTTTAGCATCGTATGCAAAGTTTATTAATATATGACAACATTGAATGGAAAGATGGAAACCTTGAGATAAACATTCAATATTAAAATATACATTAAAACCTTTATTTTAACTTTTAGAAGACCAACAGAATTTTTTTTTTAGTATAGGAAGATAAAACAAGGTAGAAGGGTGTCAGAAGGCAGATCAGAGGGCTCCATAGCTTTTAATGTATTAGAAACTTCCCAAACTTCCCAGCTTGCTCCAGTGTGCAGTATGTAAAAGAACCTCTGGCCAGGAGTCAGTGGCTCATGCCTGTAATCCTAGCTACTAAAGAGGTTGAGAATCCTGGTTCAAAGCCAGCCTGGGCAGGAAAGTCTGTGACACTCTTATCTCCAATAAACCATTCAGAAAACCCCAAATGTGTAACTGTGGCTCAAGCAGTACAGCACTAAGCTGGAGCTGAAGACCGCAGGGACAGGGCTCAGGCACAGAGTTCAAGCCCCAGGACAGACACAAAAAAAAGATTAAATGGGTGACATTGTCCAAAAGGAAAAGTACTCTTTACCTGACACATGGAAGTGTAACCCCTCTGTACATCAACTTTATAATAACAATTAAAACTTTTAAAAATAACAAGAGAATGTGTTTCTTTTTTTTCTTGTAAAAATACTGTACACAGGGGTTGCAATTAAATGGGCAAGGCAATGAGCACATTTCATATCAAGCACTGTTGCCTCCTCCTTGTTTACCCTGCCTATCCCTTCTCATCTTCCCCCACCAACCACCCCCCACCAACCACCAAACTTGTAAAGTGCGTTTTTTGACATAAAACCTTGTATATCTCATTGTTGCAATGGGTTCAACTGTATCCCTATTTAAACATTTTGTTTTACCCTTCCCCTTCACAAATTATAGCAACATCAAATACAGTGGAAACAGAGGTTATACCATGGGGGAGGGACATACAAAGAAACAAAGAAATCATCTTATAAAATATGTTAGAAACAATAGCAAGAAAGAAAAAAAACATTTGAATCCTTATCTTGGGGTTCATTTCGCCTAGCATCATTTTTTTTTTTATTGTGAAAATACTATACAGAGGGGTTACAATTACATGGGCAAGATAACGAGTACATTTCTTATCAAGTATTGTAAACCTCCTCCTTTGTTTCCCCTTCCCATCCCATCCTCCCCCCCTCCTACCCCATCACCTAATCCTCCCCAACCCCCCCACCTCCTCCCCCTCCCATCAAAGTTGTAGAGTTCCTTTCCCACATAACAACTATGTACATCTCATTGTTTCAATGGGTCCACCTATATCCCTATTTAAACGAATGTTTTTCCACTTCCCCTCCACAAATTATACCAACATCAAATACAGTGACAGCAGGGGTTATACTGTGGGAGTGGGGCATACAAAGCAACAAAGAAATAATTTTATAAATGTGTTAGAAACAATCGCATGAAAGAAAAAAAACATTTGAATACATATCTTAGGGTTCATTTCCCTAACATCACCTTATCTGGCCTTTTCTGCTTGACTCAGACATATACTAGATATTGCAAGTAAGGGAAACAATGGGACCTATGTTTCTTTGGGCCTGGCTTACTTCACTTAATATAGTTTTTTCCAAGCCTTTCCATTTCCTAACAAATGGGGAAATGTCATTCTTTCTGATGGAGGCATAGAATTCCATTGTGAATATATACCACATTTTCTTGATCCATTCATCTACTGAGGGGCATCTGGGTTGGTTCCATATCTTAGCTATAGTAAATAATGCTGCAATAAACATAGTCATGCTGGTAGCTTTAGTGTGGACTTGTTTGTAAACATTAGGGTAAATGCCCAGAAGTGGGATTGCTGGGTCATAGGGGAGCTCTATGTGGAGTCTTTTGAGGAACCTCCATACTGCTTTCCAAAGTGGTTCAACAAGTTTACACTCCCACCGACAGTGCAGTAGGGTTCCCTTCTTTCCACATCCCCTCCAGCATCTGTTGTTATTAGAGTTCTTGATTTTAGCCATTCTAACTGGAGTGAGGTGGTATCTCAATGTTGTTTTGATTTGCATTTCTTTTATGGCTAGGGAGGTTGAGCATTTCTTCATGTGTCTATTGGCCATCCTTCTTTCCTCTTCAGAGAAGTTCTCTGTAAGTCTTTAGTCCACTTATTTACTGGGCAGTTGTTTCTTTGAAGATTTGTTGTTGGGGGATTTAATTTTTTGAGTTCCAGGTATATTTTAGATGTGAAACCCTTGTCAGTTGTATGGCTAGTGAAGATCTTCTCCCAATCCATGGGCTTTCTATTGATCTTGTTAGCTATGTCCTTTGCTATGCAGAAGCTCTGAAATTTCATGCAATCCCATTTGTCCAACCTTTCTTTGATTTGTTGTGTTTCTGGGTCTCTATTAAGAAAATTTCGGCCTGTGCCAACAAGACCTAGGGTTTTTCCTATTCCATCCTTTAATGTTTTCAGAGTGTCTGCTTTGACTCCGAGGTCTTTGATCCATTTGGAGATGATTCTGGTGCAGGGTGATATATAAGGATCTAACTTTATTTTTCTACAAGTAGTTAACCAATTTTGCCAGGCCCATTTACTGAAGATGCTATCTTTCTTCCATTCTATTTTTTTTATCTCCCTTATCAAAAATTAGTTATCTATAGGTCTGTAGGTTCGTTTCTGGGTTTTCAATTCTATTCCATTGGTCCTGAAGTCTGTTATTGAGCCAGTACCAAGCTGTTTTGATTAGTATGGCTTTATAGTAGAGTTTGAAATTTGGTATTGATATTCCTCCAGCAGTGTTCTTTCCGTTGAGGAGCGTTTTTGCTATTCGGGGTCTTTTATTGTTCCATATGAATTTTTGGATTGCCTCTTCTATTTCCTTGAAGAATGAGGTTGGAATTTTGATAGGTATTGCATTGAATTTGTAGATAGCCTTGGGAAGTATTGCCATTTTCATGATGTTGATCTTTCTAATCCAGGAGCCTGGGAGTTTTTGCCAATTTCTAAGTTCTGTTTTGATTTCCTTTTTCAAGTTTTTAAAGTCTTCATCATAGAGGTCCTTCACTTCTTTGGTTAAGTTAATTCCTAGGAATTTTATTTTTTGTGTGGCTATTATGAATGTAGTTGCTTTCCTAATTTCAGCCACACTTTTCTCATCGTTGGCAAACAGCAAAGCCATTGCTTTTTGAAGGTTAACTTTATACCCTGCTACTTTGCCTAAGTTTTGAATCAGCTTGAGTAATTTGGGAGTGGAGTCTATGGGATTCTTTAAATACAAGAGCATGTCATCTGCAAAGAAGGAGAGTTTTATTTCTTCTTTCCCAATTTGTATCCCCTTTATGTTTGCATCTTTTCTTATTGCTGTAGTTAGGCATTCTAATACTAGATTGAAAAGAAGTGGAGAGAGTGGACATCCATGTCTTATTCCTGAGTTAAGAGGAAATGGCTTTAGTTTTTCACCATTAAGTATAATTTGCCTAGCATCATCTTATCTGACTGTTTTGCTTGTCTCAGACATATACTAGTTATTGCAAATGAGGGATACCATGGGACCTATGTTTCTTTGGGCCTGGCTTACTTCACTTAACATAATTTTTTCCAAGTCTTTCCATTTCCTAACAAATGGGGCAATGTCATTCTTTCTCATAGAGGCATAGAATTCCTTTGTATATATATATATATATATATATATATATACGTATATATATATGCGTATATATATATATATGTATATATATACGTATATATATATATACATATATATATATATATATATATATACCACATTTTCTTGATCCATTCATCTACTGAGGGGCATCTGGGTTGGCTCCCTATCTTAGCTATGGTAAATAATGCTGCAACAAACATAGTTGTGCTGGTAGCTTTAGTATGGTCTTGTTTGTGATCATTCGGATAAATGCCCAGAAGTGGGATTGATGGGTCATAGGGGAGCTCTATGTGGAGTCTTTTGAGGAACCTCCATACTGCTTTCCAAAGTGGTTGAACACGTTTACACTCCCACCAACAATGCAGTAGGGTTCCCGTCTGTCCACATCCCCTCCAGCATCTGTTATGAATAGAGTTCTTGATTATAGCAATTCTAGCTGGGGTGAAGTGGTATCTCAATGTTGTTTTGATTTACATTTCTTTTATGGCTAGGAAGATTGAGCATTTCTTATTGTCTATTGGCCATCCTTCTTTCCTCTTCAGAGAAGTTTCTCTGTAAGTCTTTAGTGCACTTATTTATCGAGCAGTTGTTTCTTTGAGGATTTGTTGTTGTTCCAAGTATATTTTAGATATGAGACCCTTGTCCATTGTATGGTTAGTGAAGATCTTCTCCCAATCTGTGGGCTCTCTATTGATCTTGCTAGCTATGTCCTTTGCCATGCAGAAGCTCTGCAATTTCATGCAATCCCATTTGTCCAACCTTTCTTTGATTTCTTGTGCTTCTGGGCCTCTATTAAGAGAATTTCGGCCTGTGCCGTGGACACTTTAGTTTTCTCTTATTCTGTTCTGTAATATTTTTAGAGTGTCTGCTTTGAGTTCAAGGTCTTTGATCCATTTGGAGTTGATTCTGGTGCAGGGTGATATATAAGGATTTAGCTTTAGTTGTCTACAAGTGATTAACCAATTTTGCCAGCACCATTTACTGAAGAGGCTGTCTTTCTTCGGTTCTATTTTTTTAGATCCCTTATTGAAGATTAGATGGCTTTAGACCTGTGGGTTCATTTTTGAGTTTTCAATTCTATTGCATTGGCCCTGAGGTCTGTTTTTGTGCCAGTACCAAGCTGTTTTGATTACTATGGCTTTGTAGTGAAATTTGAAATTTGGTATTGACATTCCTCCAGCAGTGTTATTTCTGTTAAGGACCGTTTTTGCTTTTCGGGATCTTTTATTGTTCCATATGAATTTTTGGATTACATTTTGTGTTTCCTTGAAGAATGAGGTTGGAATATTGATATGTATCGCATTGAATTTTTAGATAGCCTTGGGAAATATTACCATTTTAACGATGTTGATTCTTCCAATCCCGGGGATGGGAGGTTTTTCCACTTTCTAAGTTCTGTTTTGTTTTCCTTTTTTAGGTTTTTAAAGTTTTCCTCGTAGAGGTCCTTCACTTCTCTGATTAAGTTAATTCCTAGGTATTTTATTTTTTGTGGGGCTATTACGAATGGAGTTGCTTTCCTGATTTCAGCCACACTTTTCTCATTGTTGACATATAGAAAAGCCATTGATTTTTGAGGGTTAATTTTATACCTTGCTACTTAAGAATGAGTTTTCTTTTACAGAGAATCGTGGTGAACATATCATTTTCTTTTCTTTTTTTATTTTTTAAATCTCTGGGGCTTGAGCTCAGGGCCTGGGCAATGTCCTTGTTTTTTGCTTTTTTGTATTTTTTTGTTTGCTTGCTTATTTTGTTTCTCTCAAGGTTAGTACTCCACCACTAGAGCCACAGCACTACTTCTGGCTTTTTTTGTTTATAGAGTATTGAGGAATTAAACCCAGGGCTTTATCCATGCTAGAATCGAACACTAAGCCACACTCCCAGTTCAAGCATATAATTTTAACTGTAGACAATTTTAATCAAAATTAGATTTCTCTCCAAGTATTTCTTCTTACACTCTTGTTTATCTGATTTCTTTTTAGACTTATTTTTACACCTTGAATGTACGTTCAAAGTGTGATTTCACTTTATGGTTAAGTAACTCATTGTTTGATAAGTTATTCATAATTCCCTTTAAAAATTCATATGAATACTGTGATAAACATTGTTGTGCTCATAGCTTTAGTATGGCCTTATTTGTGATCCTTTGGTTAAATGCCCAAAAGTGGGATTGCTGGGTCATAGGGGAACTCTATGTGGAGTCTTTTGAGGAAGCTCCATACTGCTATCCAAAGTTGTTGAACAAATTTACACTCACCAACAATGTAGTCAGGTTCCCATTTGGCTACATCCCCTCCAGCATCTGTTGTTATTAGAATTCTTGATTATAATCATTCAAACTGGAGTAAGCTGGAAGTTCAGTGTCGTCTTGATTTGCATTTATTTTATGGCTAGAGAAATTGGCATTTCTTCATGAGTCTATTGGTAATTCTTATTGCCCCTTCAGAGAAGTCTCTCTTTAAATCTTTAGTCTACTTGTTGATGGGACAATTGTTTCTTTGAGGATATGTTTTTGGAGAATTTAATATTTTGAGTTCTAAGTATATTTTAGATATGAGATCCTTGTCCGTTATATGGCTAGTGAAGATCTTCTCCCAATCCGTGGGTTTTCTATTGATCTTGCTAGCTATGTCCTTTGCCATGCAGAAGCTCTGCAGTTTCAAGCAATCCCATCTGTCCAACCTTCTTTGATTTGTTTTGTTCCTGGGTCTTTATTATGAAAGTTTCAGCTGTTTCTGTGGTGGTTTCCATTCTCATCTCTGAGTTTGTGTATTTGGGTGTGTTCTCTTCTTTTCCTGATAAGATTTGCTAAAGGTCTGTCAATTTTATTATTTTTTTCATAGAACAAACTCTTTGTTTTGTTGATTTTTTTCTATTTTTTACTCTAATTTATTTAATCCTGAATTAATTTTAACTATTTGTTTCTGCCCAATGGATTGGGGTTTAGCTTGTTGCTCTTTTTCAAATAGCTCTAGGTACTCCATAAAATTGTTGGTTTCAGATGTCTACAATTTCTTTTCTTTCTTTTGTTTTTTTGGGTCCGGTAGTGGGGCTTGAACTCTGGGCCTGGGTGCTGTCCCTCAGCTCTTCAGCTCAAGGCTAGCGCTGTACCACTTGAGCCACAGACCCACTTCTGGCTTTTTTTTCTTTTTGCTTATGTGGTGCTAAGGAATCGAACCCAGGGCCTCAGGCATGCAAGGCAAGTGCTCTACCACTGAGCCACATTCTCAGCCTTCTCCAATTTCTTGATGTAGGAACTCAGAGCTATAAACTTGCCTCTGAGTATGTGTTCCAGAGGAGCTGGTAGTTTGTGTGCTCAATTTTGTTAAATATCATGGACATTTGAATTTCCTTTCTAACTCTTCCATGACCCACTGGTAGTTCAGCCTCCATGCATTACAGGATTTTCTTTGGTGGCTTTTGGTGTTAAGTTCTAATTTTATTCCCTTGTGGTCTGATAGAATGCAGGGCATAATTTCAATGCTGCTGAATTTGGACAAATTTTCTTTGTGACCTAGAATGTGGTCTATTTTGGAGAATGTTCTATGTGCTGCTGAAAAGAACGTGTAATCTGATGTTGCTGGGTGAAATATTCTGTAGATGTTTGTTAAGTCTAGTTGATTTATCCAGTTGTTTAGATCTGAGATTTCTTTGTTGAGTTTTTGCCGGTTGATATATCCAGTGGGAAAAGTGGTGTAATAAAGTCCCCAGCAATTACTGTCTTTGGAGCAATGTGTGATTTGAGGGAAAGTTTTGTCTCTTGGATAAATCTGGGTGCTCTGTTATTTGGTGAATAGATATTTAGAACTGTAATATCCTCCTGAAGGAGAGATCCCTTAATTAGTATGTAATGACCTTCTTTATCAATTCTCCTTGATTTTAATTTGAAGTCTATTTTAACTGATATTAAGATTTTGATTCCCAACTGTTTTATGGGGCTGTTTGTTTGATGAATTTTATTCCAGCCTTTCATTTTCAGAATGTTTCTTAATGTGGGCAATGTGTGTCTCTTGAAGGCAACAGATAGAAGGATCTTGCTTTTTGATCCTACTAGACAATCTATGTCATTTAATTTCAGAGTTAAGTCCATTAATATTGCGTTAGGCCTGAGAGGTGTTTGTCTGTTTTTGCCTTTTAATCCATTTTTGGGGGGAAGGGAGGCTGTGCCCTGACTGTCCTTGCTGTGATTATGTAGGTCTCTGTGGTCCATTTCACTGCCAATCCTGTTCTTGTTGGCTTTCTATGTGTAGAATGGCTTTGAGGATTGTTTGGAAAGCTGGCTTGGTAGTGATATATCATTTCAGTTTTTCCTTGCTGTAGAAGGTTTTTATTTGTCCTTCCACTATGAATGAGAGCTTAGCTGGATAAATTATTCTCGGTGGTAGTTATTTGTCTTTAGGGCATGGCATACCTCATTCCATGCTCTCCTTGCTTTCATGGTCTCTGTTGATAAGTCTGAGGTTATTCTGATTGGCTTAACTTTAGAGGTGATTCTGTTCTCCCTGGTGGCTTTAAGAATTCTTTCCTTAGATCCTATACACACTATAATGTGGCAGTGGAATTCTCATTCTGGTTTGGTTTATTTGGGGTTCTAAAAGTTTCTTGTATCTAGATGGGCCTGCCTTTTGTATATTTGGGAAGTTCTCTGCTAAGATTCTTCTGAATGTATTTCCTAATCCATTGGCTTCCCTTTCCAGGTCCTCCTCAATACCCATTAGTCTCAAATTAGGCTTTATGATTGTATTTTATAGCTCCTAAAATGATCTATCATGCTTCTTGTTTTTGTCATGAATATCTGTGTGCTCTTTCTCTATGGAGTCTAAACTATGTTCTGCCTGTAAGATTCTGTCTTCTGCTTCCTCCATTCTGCTTTCAAGGCTTTTTATTTTGCTATTTATTTCCCTTCCTTCTTGTTGGTTTTTCTTAATGGTGGCTAGATCTTTACTGAGGTTTTCATTTAAGTCTTGAGTAGATTGCCTTACATCCTACAGTTAGATTCTAGACTTGTCTTTCACATCTTTAACTAAGTTTACATCATTTCTTTTCTTTTTTTAATAAATTTTTTGTGTGTGAAAATACCATACAGAGGAGTTACTGTCACATGAGCAAGGTAATCAGTACATTTCTTATTAAGCATTGTTACCTCCTCCCTTGTTTTTCCCCTACCATCCCTGTCCTCTTATCTCCATGACTACTCTCCCCACACCTCACCTCCTCCCAGCAAAGTTGTAAAGTTCATTTTTCGACATAAAGTCTTGTACATCTCATCGTTGCAATGGGTCCACCTGTATCCCTATTTAAACAATTTCCCTTCCCCTCCCCAAATTACACAAACATCACATACAGTGACAGCAGAGGTTATACCGTGGGGGAGGGACATACAAAGCAACAAAAAAAATCTTATAAATATGTTAGAAACAATAGCAAGAAAGGAAAAAATATTTGAGTCCTTATCTTGGGGCTCATTTCATCATCTTATCTGACCGTTCTGCTTGTCTCTAATATATACTAATTATTGCAAATAAGGAAACTATGGGACCTATATTTCTTTGGGCCTGGCTTACTTCACTTAATAGAATTTTTTTCCAAGTATTTCCATTTCCTAACAAATGGGGCAATGTTATTCTTTCTGATGGAGGCATACAATTCCATTGTATATAATATATATATATATATATATATATATACCACATTTTCTTGAGAGACCCAGAAACACAACAAATCAAAGAAAGGTTGGACAAATGGGATTCCATGAAGTTGCAGAGCTTCTGCATGGCAAAGGACATAGCTAGTAAGATCAATAGAAAGCCCACGGATTGGGAGAAGATCTTCACTAGCCATACAATGGACAAGGGTCTCATATCTAAAATATACTTGGAACTCAAAAAATTAAATCTCCCAACAACAAATCCTCAAAGAAACAACTGCCCAGTAAGTAAGTGGGCTAAAGACTTAAAGAGAAATTTCTCTGAAGAAGAAAGAAGGACGGCCAATAGACACATGAAGAAATGCTCAACTTCCCTAGCCATAAAAGAAATGCAAATCAAAACAACATTAAGATACCACCTCACCCCAGTTCGAATGGCAAAAATCAAGAACTCTAATAACAACAGATGCTGGAGGGGATGTGGACAGAAGGAAATCTTACATCATTGTTGTTGGGAGTGTAAACTTGTTCAACCACTTTGGGAAGTAGTATGGAGGTTCCTCAGAAGACTCCACATAGAGCTCCCCTATGACCCAGCAATCCCACTTCTGGGCATTTACCCAAATGTTTATGTGGAATCTTTTGAGGAACCTCCATACTACTTTTCAAAGTGTTTGAACAAGTTTACACCACCAACAATGAAGTAAGATTCCCTTCTGTCCACATCCCCTCCAGCATCTGTTGTGCTTAGAGTTCTTGATTATAGCCATTCTAACTGGGGTGAGGTGGTATCTCAATGTTGTTTTGATTTGCATGGTTTCCCTTATTTGCAATAACTAGTATATGTCTGAGACAAGCAGAAAAGGTCAGATAAATTGATGTTAAATGAAATGAACCCCAGATAAGTATTCAATGTTTTTTTTTTCTTTTTTGCCATCATTTCTAACATATTTATAAGATGATTTATTTCTTTGTTGCTTTGTATGTCCTACCCCCATGGTATACCGCTGCTTTCACTGAATATGATGTTAGTATAATTTGTGTAGGGAAAGGGCAAAAACAAACCATTTCAATAGGGATACAAGTGGACCCATTTCAACAATGAGATGCACAAGTCGTTATGTTGATTTGTATTTCTTTTATGGCTAGGGAGGTTGAGCATTTCTACATGTGTCTATTGGCCATCCATCTTTCCCCTTCAGAGAAGTTTCTCTGTAAGTCTTTAGCCCACTTATTTCTTGGGCAGTTGTTTCTTTGAGGATTTGTTGTTGGGGGGTTTAATTTTTTGACTTCCAAGTATATTTTAGATATCAGACCCCTGTCTGTTATATGGCTAGTGAAGATCTTCTCCCAAACCATGGGCTTTCTACTGATGTTGCTAAGAGACTGTCTTTCTTCCATTTTATGTTTTTAGCTCCCTTATTGAAGATTAGGTGGCTATAGGTCTGTGGGTTCATTTCTGGGTTTTCAAATCTATTTCATTGGTCCTTCAGTCTCTTCTCGTGCCAGTACTAAGCTGTTTTGATTACTATGGCTTTGTAGTAGAGTTTGAAATTTGGTATTGACATTTCCCCAGCACAGTTAAGGATCATTTTTGCTATTCGAGGTCTTTTATTGTTCCATATGAATTTTTGGATTGTAACTGGGTTTATAACTTTTATATTGTGAAAATACCATACAGAGGGGTTACAATCACATGGGCAAGATAATGAGTACATATCTTTTTGTTGTTGTTGTTGTGAAAACACTGTACAGAGGGGTTACAATTACATGGGCAAGATAATGAATACATTTCTTATCAAGAATTGTTGTCTTCTCCTTTGTTTACCCTTGCCATCCCTTCCCATCTCCCCCTCTCCTCCAACACCCCTCCAAGCCAAAGTTTTTCGACATAAAGGCTTGTGCATCTCATTGTTGCAATGGGTCCACCTGTATCCCTATTTAAACATTTTGTTTTTTGCCTTCCCCTCCACAACTTATACCAAAATCAAATACAGTGAATACAAGGGTTATACCTGGGGGAGGGATATACAAGCAACAAAGAAATCATCTTATAAATGTGTTAGAAACAATCCCAAGAAAGAAAAAAAAAACATTTGAATCCTTATCTTGGGGTTCATTTGACCTAACATGAACTTATCTGACCATTTCTGCTTGTCTTAGACATATACTAGTTATTGCAAATAAGGGAAACCATGGGACCTATGTTTCTTTGGGCCTGGCTTACTTCACTTAATATAAGTTTTTCCAAGTCTTTTCATTTCCTACAAATGGAGCAATGTCATTCTTTCTGATGGAGGCATAAAATTCCATTGTGTATATATGCCACATTTTCTTGATCCATTCATCTATTGAGGGGCATCTGGGTTGGTTCCATAACTTAGCTATGGTAAATGCTGCAAAAAACATAGTTGTGCTGGTAGATTTAGTGTGGTCTTGTTGTGATCATTTGGGTAAGTGCCCAAAAGTGGGATTGCTGGGTCATAGGGGAGCTCTATGTGGAGTCATTTGAGGAACCTCCATACTACTTTCTAAAGTGGTTGAACAAGTTTGCACTCTCACCAACAATTCAGTAAGCTTCCCTTCTACCCACATCCCCTCCAGCATCTGTTGTTCTTAGAGTTCTTGTTTACAGCCATTCTAACTGGGGTGAGGTGTTGTTTTGATTTGCATTTCTTTTATGGCTAGGGAGGTTGAGCATTTCTTCATGTGTGTATTGGCCATCATTCTTTCCTGTTCAGAGAAATTTCTCTTTAAGTCTTTAGCCCACTTATTTATTGGGCAGTTGTTTCTTTGAGGATTTGTATCTTTTTATTGGACTCTTTCACCTTCCATCGGAATTCCTTTATCTTTTTATTTGTGGAGGCCATGAAGTCACCCATTAGTTTCTGGTTGTCTCCTTACGTTCTGTTATAGTCCTATGCTGTGTGTCCACATTTTCATTCATTAGATTTATGACTATGCTTTTTAAATACCTTGAGCATTATCCTTTAGGTCATTCTGGGACTGCTCTATAGCTTGTTTATATGGAGATGGAGTTGGAATTAGATGACTGGCCATGTTTCTTGGGTTTCTGCAGTTAGTTTTACCCATTTGGAGACAAGAGCCACACTAATATAACAATAGGACAGTCTTTTAGGGCAGGAGCCTACCCAGTGTTGTGTTGATGTATAGAATTTAGGGTTTCAAAATTATGGTTGGATCCTCCCTATTTATCTCTGTTTTTCTTTGCTTGGCGAGGGATGCTGTGGTTCTGAGTGGAGATTATGTATAGTTATAACTTGTGAGATGATCTTGGTTTGGCTGTTAAGTAGTCTGCATCTTAGGGTTAACAAGATGGGCCGCTTGTACTCAATTAAAATGGAACCAACTTCAAGTTGTCTCAGATATAACTTGTTAGGGCTCAATGGAAAGATCTGTAGCTGGTGTTGGGTTTGATCACAATGTGTGTGACTGCCAGGATGGTGTTGCGGGGTTCTCAATGGGAGGGTCTAGGCCTGGGCAGGACCAGGTTGGGAGTTGACATCTGCAGCAGCTGAATGATCTCCCTCTGCACTGGGAGGACCAGGTGAAGCTTGGTGGGCAGCGGCAATCCTGGGCTACAGCAACGGTGGTGGGTGGGGTGGCTAACAGTATCTGCGGGCTGTGTCAGTGGACACCTAGTTCAGCACGTAATGCTATCCACAGCAGCTCTGGACTGTGCTGGCAGCGGCCGGTGAAAGAGCTGGCCTGGCTTGTGTAGGTTCGGTGGAGCTGGCAGAATGATGCCCCTGTGACTATGGGAGCCTGGGGTCAGCACCCAGTGGTGGCAGGGAGGGAGTTGTCCCGGCAGAGCACCCAGTTGGCTGGTCTGTTGGCCGGTGGGTCCAGGGATTGGCTGAGGCTGTGGTATCCTGGGAGCGTGTGCAGAGATGGCAGGTGTCCAGGGTGATCCTGCTGGCACCAGTTTTCTGATGGTTAATTGGAGTAAGCTTCTCACAGACTTTCCTATCCAGGCTGGCTTTGAACCGCAATCCTCAGATCTCAGACTCCTGAGGAGCTAGGATTACAGCCGTGAGTCACTGGTGCCAGGCTTTATATGGTCATATGTACATAGCTATTGAGCTATTCTGCTCATCTGCTAAAATTATCTTAAAAATATACTAATTATTTCAAATAAAGGAAACCATGGCACCTATGTTTCTTTGGATCTGGCTTACTTCACTCACTTACTTCACTATGATTTTTCCTAAGTCTTTCCATTTCCTTACAAATGTGGCAGCGTCATTCTTTCTGATGGAAGCATAGAATTCATATATATATATATATATATATATATATATATACATACAGAGAGAGAGAGAGAGAGAGAGAGAGAGAGCATAGATAAGATATGAATCCAACCCAGATGCCCTGCAGTAGACGAATGGATCAAGAAAATGTGATATATATAAAGATATAGATATATATGAATTTTATGACTCCATCAGGAAGAATGACACTACCCCATTTATTAGAGAATGGAAAGACTTGGAAAAAATATACAAAGTGAAGTAAGCCAGACCCAAAGAAATGAAGGTCCCATGGTTTCCCTTATTTGTAATAATTAGTGTATATCTAGGACAATCTTACCAGATGAGCAGAAAAGCTCAAAAGCTATATATATTGTGAACATTTAAGATGATGTTAATTGAAATGAACCCTAAGATATGGAGGTCTGTCTTTGTTGTTGCTTTTAAAGAACTGTTTTTTTTTTGTTTCGTCTGTATGTTCTTCCCTCTGTGGTATATCACCTGTTGTCACTGTATTTGATTTTGGTACCCTGCATTTTGTATATACACTGGGAAGGGAAAGGGAATAAAATGCTGAAACAAAGACCCGGGATGATCATTGCAACAAGGATATTCAGAAGACACTATGTTGGAAATGAACTTTACAACTTGGGGTTAGGGTGGAGGGAGGAGTGTGGGAGGTGGGGGAGGGAAGGGATAGTGGGAGAACAACCAGGGAAGGAGTAACACTGCTCAACAAGTAATGTACGTATCATCTTATTCTTGTGACTGTAACCCCTCTGTACGGCATCTTTACAATAAAATAAAAAGTTTTTAAAGTACCACAGATGTAATGAAAAGATAAGTTTCATGATATTAATGACCTATACCTAGATGTAGTTCATATTAGTTTGTTTCATGTCATCATTTTGGTTGATAAACATGCATTTAGCATTTAGTTGATTTCTTTTCCAACATTTCAAAATACAATCTGAGTAGAAGTCTGTATATAAACCACAACCTATATATATTTGATGTTTACTTCTTTCATTGATTTCTGCTTTTATTGTCAAATAGTTTTTCCTTCCTTGAATTGATAGCATTGCATCAAAAGTGTGCATTGTTCTAAGATCAGATTCACTTGCTTTTGTAGACAATATAGTAGGAAGCCTGTGTTTTGTTCCCCCCTGTTGCCTTCTCTTTTCTTGTTATATCTGAAACTGTGCGGAAGATTTGGACTCATACACTGCTTCAGTCAGTCTTAACATGAAACAACATACTAGAACTTGGATTGTGAGCACATTTTATACAAATAACCTACCTGAAATACTCTAATGTACCTGTTGCTAAAATTAGCATGCTTTGATGAGAGACACAGCTTTCTAGTAGAAAAATGACTAGAAAATGAAATCCTGGGTTTATTTTCAGTAAAACATTTTATATTACTTTTAAATTTTCCTAAAGTTTGCATTTTGAAAGACCTTTGATCCTTTTTATATATTATATGTTTTAGAGCATGATTCAAAAATTTAAAAAAATTACAAATTATGCAGTTATGAATATATGACAATAACTACTTTACTTCTTTGTGTAACTATGAAAACTTGTAAGTAGAAGAAAAATGCATAGTTATTTCTCTGTTAAATAGACTAGAGATGATGAGTAATTACCAATAACTACAAGAAGTAATATGCATTTCCAGTGAAAATAAGAATGATTTTATATCTAGCTAAACATAATTAGCCATAACCAAAAATATCTATATTTTAGTCAGTAAGAGGTTTTGGTGGGGCAAAAGTGGGTGCACAGATGCAATTCAAATGACTAGCAATACTGAGGCAAGAGGATTGTAATTTCCAAGCCTCTGTCTCAAAAGCAACCAAATCAACCAACAAATAGAAAAATCAAGTTTAAGTATTTTCTTGAAACTAATTGAAGTACATTGAGGTTGATTTCTGCCTGCTGAAAATTCATGTACTCTTGTGATTCCAACCTCTGCTTTAGTTTGCAACCTCTTATATTCTGGGTTCATAGTTTATTTGTCCATACCACCTCCCCTAATGTTAACCAATCTGTTATCTATTTGATTTCAGTAAGACTTAAATGACAAAATGGTTTCTGTAGGGAAGACATACCTCTTTGTTAGTTTTCTCTGAGATATATTTTTTCCCCAGTGGAATTTGCTGTATATCATTATGTCCATCAAATGTTATATAAAATTAATGTTAAAATATATTTGCAATGTTAATCACTAATCTTCAGTTTCATGTGCCTCCTTTTTATTCATTTGCTTTGTCAGTTTTGCATATTGTAAGCAGATGGGACCATTCTTTATTCCAAAGCAGAAAGTCATCCAAGTTTGTGCTCCTTTCGTTTTCTTTAAATTCTGACGGAGAGTCAGTTCTCATCTGAACTCATTGTGCTTGCATTATCCTTTCAGGTGCAGCCAGCAGGAACAAATCCAGGCTCCACATTGTTTTTTACCTCTTCATCACAAATGAAACTCCCTTTTAAGAAAATTTCACCCTGTGCCAAGGAGACCTAGGGTTTGTGGTATTCTGTCCTATAATGTTTTCAGGGTGTCTGCTTTGACTCTGAGGTCATTGATCCATTTGGAGTTGAGTCTAATGCAGGGTGATATATAAGGATCTAGCTTTAGTTTTTCTACAAGTGATTAACCAATTTTGCCAGCACCATTTACTGAAGAGGCTGTCTTTCTTCCATTCTATTTTTTTAGCTCCTTTATTGAAGATTAGATAGCTATAGGTCTGTGGGTTCATTTCTGTGTTTTCAATTCAATTCCATTGGTCCTGAGGTCTGTTCTTGTGCCAGTACCAAGCTGTTTTGATTACTATAGCTTTGCAGTAGAGTTTGAAATTTGGTATTGATATTCCTCCAGCACTGTTCTTTCTATTAAGGATCGTTTTGCTATTGGAGGTCTTTTATTGTTCTACATGAATTTTTGGATTACATTTTCTATTTCCTTGAAGAATGATGTTGGAATATTTATAGGTATTGCTCTGAATTTGTAGATAGCTTTGGGATTTTCATGATATTGATCCTTCCAATCCAGGAGCATGGGAAGTTTTTCCACTAAGTACTGTTTTGATTTCCTTTTTCAGGTTTTTAAAGTTTTCCTCATAGAGGACCTTCACTTCTTTGGTTAAGTTAATTACTAGGTATTTTATTTTTTGTGGGGCTATGACAAATGGTGTTGCTTTCCTGATTTCAGCCGTGATCTTCTCATTGTTGGCATTCAAAAAAGCCATTGATTTTTGAGAGTTAATTTTATATCCTGCTACTTTGCCAAAGTTTTGAATCAGCTCAAATAATTTGGGAGTGGATTCCATGGGATTCTTTAAATACAAGATCATGTCATCTGCAAAGAGGGAGAGTTTTACTTCATCTTTCCCAATTTGGCTCCCTTGTATGTTTGCATCTTGTCTTATTGCTGTAGCTAGGCATTCTAATACTAAATTGAAGAGAAGTGGAGAGAGTGGATATCCTTATCTCATTCTTGAGTTTAGAGGAAATGTCTTCAGTTTGTTTTTTTTTACCATTAAGTATAATGCTAGCTGCAAGTTTGTCATATACAGCATTTATTGTATTGAGGAATGTTCAAATCAAAGAAAGGTTGGACAAATGGGATTCCATGAAGTTGCAGAGGTTCTGCATGGCAATGGACATAGCTAGCAAGATCAATAGAAAGCCCATGGACTGGGAGAAGATCTATACTAGCCATACAACAGACAAGGGTCTCATATCTAAAATATACTTGGAACTCAAACAATTAAATCCCCCAACAACAAATCCTCAAAGAAACAATTGCCCAATAAATAAGTGGGCTAAAGACTTACATAGGAACTTCCTGAAGAGGAAAGAAGGATGGCCAATAGACACATGAAGAAATGCTCAACCTCCCTAGCCATCGAAGAAATGCAAATGAAAACAACACTGAGATACCACCTCACCCCAGTTAGAATGGCTATAATCAAGAACTCTAAGCACAACAGATGCTGGAGGGGATGTGACCAGAAGGGTGGCATACTGAATTATTGGTAGTAGTATAAACTTGTTCAACCACTTTGGAAAGTTGTATGGAGGTTCCTCAAATGACTCCACATAGAACTCCCCTATGACCCAGCAATCCCACTTTGGGGCATTTACCCAAATGGCCACAAACAAGACCATACTAAAGCTACCAGCACAACTATGTTTTTTGCAGCATTTACCATAGCTAAGATATGGAACCAACCCAGATGCCCCTCAGTAGATGAATGGATCAAAAAAATGTGATATATATGCACAATGGAATTTTATGCCTCCATCAGAAAGAATGACATTGCTCCATTTGTTAGGAAATGGAAAAACTTGGAAAAAATTATATTAAGTGAAGTAAGCCAGGCCCAAAGAAACATAGGTCCCATGGTTTCCCTTATTTGCATTAACTAGTATATGTCTAAGACAAGCAGATGATGCTAGGTGAAATGAACCCAAGGTAAGGACACAAGTAGTTTTTTTCTTTCTTGCCATTGTTTCTAACATATTTATAAAGTGATTTATTTCTTGCTTTGTATGTCCCTCCCCTCCTCCCTGTTTTCACTGTATTTGATGTTGGTATAATTTGTGGAGGGGAAGAGAAAAAACAAATTGTTTAAATAGGGATACAGGTGGCTCCATTGCAACAATGAGATATACAAGATGCTATGTCAAAAAACAAACTTTACAACTTTGGCCAGGTATTCATGGAGATGAGAAAGTAGGGATGGTAGGGGAAAAACAAAGGAGAAGGCAACAATGCTTGATAAGAAATGTACTCATTATCTTGATCATGTAATTGCATCCCTCTATACAATATTTTTACAATAAAAAACTTATTAAAAAATGAAACTGACTAGTCTATTTCTTTTCTATGTTGTTACCAATAGTACATTTCCTAAGTATTTCAAATAATCTCTGGTATGCATTACTGTCCTATTGTTTAATAAGAATTTTCTTGCTAAAGAATAACTGAGCTCAAGACCAGCACTCTATAGTTTAAGTATTCACTTAAGGAAGCATAAGATACAATGGTACAACTCTATTAATTGTGATGGTCCAAGTCATTCTGTGGAAAAGTACAACTTCAAAATCTCACTGTCTTTAAACCATATTGTTTTTTATGATTTATCTTACATCTCTTGTAATCACAGTGGCTCTTTCCTAGGTTTTTACGCATCAATTGAATAGGAAAAAAATATGAGAGGATGGAGAAAAAAGAGTCAGCTCATAAAACTTTGCTCAGAATCATATATGACAACCTTGCTCGTATTCTACTAATCAAAGCTAATAATATGACATGTGTCATATTAAAATCTATGCACACTTGGAACATGAGCAATTAAATTTGGACAGAGGTCTTTATAGTTGAAATAAGTTTAGAATGAGGTCATACCCTTTTAGGATGTTTCTAAATAAAATGACTAGTGCCCTTACCTTATTTAGAAGTCATGTGAAGATACACAGACATACTGTGAAGGTTGGCATATGGGGATGAAAGCAGAGATGGGAGAGATTCACCAGAAAACCAAGGAACAAATAGTGTTGTTACTATCTATCAATTGCTGAGAAAAAGAGAGAGAGAGAACACAGTTTCTCCCTTGGGACCTCCAGAAAGAACTGAACCCATCCTTGATTTGAAATTCTGTAATTCTAGGCTTTGAGAGAACACCCTTCTTTTCTACTAAATCACTCAATACCACCTGGTAGCAATTTGCTATGGCAGTCCTAGGAAATTAATTTACACAGGATAGATGAAATTCAACAGGGTTCAGATAAATAGCCTTCCCATAGATGAGAAAAGAAAAACAGCCTAAGTTGATAATATAGATTATTTTTTATATGAATGTCACTATAGTAAGATTTTTTAAACCATGTTTTCAGACATTAGACCTAAACTTTGAAGTGATGGTCCTGTTATTTCTTATTTTCTGATTTCTGAGGAAACTGAATTAAACTGGCATGATTCGACTTGATAGTCCAATAGCCAGAAATAAATGGCATTCACAAAGGCAAAGAGATATTTGAGGAATGATATAACAGCTTTGAGCATCCTTTTTTGTGTAAGAATATTTTGTTGAGCCAGGCACAAAGAAACATAGGTCCCATTGTTTCTCTTATTTGCAATAACTAGTATATATCTGAGACAGGCAGAAAAGGTCAGATAAGATGATGTTAAGCGAGATGAACCCCAAGATAAAGACACAAGTTTTTTTTTCTTGCTATTGTTTCTAATGTATTTATAAGGTATCATGTGATTTTTTGTTGTTTTGTACATCCCTCCCCCATGGTATAACCCGTTTTCACTGTATCTGATGTTGGTTTAATTTGAAGAGCAAAAGGGTAAAAACAAATTGTTTAAATAGGGATATAGGTTGACCCAATGCAACAATAAGATGTGGGGGGGGGCAGGGAGGGGAGAATGGACGAGGCAACTATGCTTGTTAAGAAATGTACTCATTATCTTGCTCATGTGATTGTAACCCCTCTGTACAGTATTTTCACAATTAAAAAACTTATTTAAAAAACTTTTTTATTAGTAATTGATTGCTCTCTCAAAAACAAAAACAATCTCCAATTTCAAAAAAAGAATAATTTCTTGTTGAAAGTGAACTATACAACTTGTAGATAGGGATGGGAGGGAACAGCTGGAAAAGAACAAGGGAAGAGGTTACACTGTCCAAACAGAAATGTACTGTGTACTAGACTTTGGTAACTGTAACCCCTCTTTTCATCCTTTGCGGGGGGCACTCTGGTCCTGGACACTCTCTCTAAGCTCTTCAGATCAAGGTGCATGCTCTACCACTTGACACACAAATCGACTTACAGTTTTCTGCCTGGGCTGGCTTTGACTTGCGATCCTCAGATCTCAGCCTCCTGAGTAGCTAGGATTACAGGCATGAGCCACTGGCACCTGGCTAATACCAATATTTTAAAATTGTAAACAACATATTTTATGTTATGAGATGCATCTGTAATATTGACTAAATGCATATTGGGGCATAATATACTTTTCTGGCATGCCTAAAATATCTCTAACTGACATAAGGAGGGATATCCATTTCAACAAGGCATGGAAGCACCTTCTTTGATCTCTTACCAGTAGCATGATATTTGAATAAGTGATTTCCTCCCATTATTTTGCAGGATAACTACATGCTGTTGGAAGGTTTTGGAGGGATCTTGACAAGGAATACTCATTATCTGTTCTTGGCTGTTCTACAGTGACTTAGGAAATATGAGCTTGGGTTGACTTCTTTTTGATATGTGTTTATAAGTGCTCCTCTATTCATTCTTCCTTCAGATTTTACCTGCCTACCATTTGTCTTTCTTCTACCACATCTCATAACTTTTGAGCGTCTAGTCATGTGAGAGGTTTATATTTGAACTATAAATCTACTATAAAAACCAGTAAACACACACAATGCTACATTAAAAGTTGGTTATAGGTAAACAAACTCTTCCTAACTCTTAGAAACATTGACCAAGATACAGTTGGCAATGTCTAGAGACGTTCTAGAGAATGA